CAGTTAAAATTTTCCTCGGAGTTGTCGCAAATTTACCAACACCACTTCCCAGCCAGGAGCTCGCCGATACGCCAAAACTGGAAGCCCTTAGTTACAAACTCTGTCAGTTATGCATGATAAATCTCAGGACTGGAGAAGTAAATCACCTATAGCATTACAATCTTAAACGTTTTGCGATCAGTCTTATTTCCGTTCAAGGAAGAAAGAAACATCTCTGGAACAAAAGGAATACCTGGGTTTGGAATTTGACAGACAGTAATGATCAGATTTTTCATGATCAAGGACGATCTCTAACGTCAAAGCTTTAAAAGTCAAATAACAATATCGACACAAACCTGATAACTGAAGAGACACTCTCCTCAATAAGCCATTCAAATTTTATTTCCTTTAGGGGAATTTTTTTAAAATACTCTTTCTATTACAGTATTTAGTAGTTTAGTGTAACTCTTCTCTTAGTCTTACTCTGCTACCCGGAAGTATTATCACCAAGTACTGTTAAGCAAATTTACAGAATGGATTGTTCCCTTATTTACAAATTAAGCATTCGGCAAATTTTTAAATGTATTTACATATATGTGTTATAATCTCAAGCAACAGCCAAACTCTAGAATTTACAGCATTAGCACATAATTATATTCAGTTTTCGGCAGTTCCTTCAACCGTAAAAACAAGCGCAAAACTGTGTTATCGTTTCTTTTACTGCTTTTCGAACTTCTTTAATCTTCCAACAATAAACAATAGGATTTAGCACGGAATTGAGACTAATCAAACCAACAGCTACGACTTGTGCCACGAAAATTGTGAAATTTAATCCACGAATAAGCATTAAAGTAGTTACTACTGCAAAAGGAAAATAGCATGTTACTAATGTTATGTGGACCCATAAAGAGTTGATCACTGTCTTTCTGTATCGTGCCATCACTAACAAAGCAGCTGCTCCTTCTCCTCTGAGATCTTGCACGGCTGTTCGCCGACGCCAAATATTGTGAAAGATTCTTGTGTAACAGTAAGTCGAGATTGTCATTTTTAAAGTAACTAAAAGACCGCATACAAAAAAGAACGCCTTCATGTTCCAGAAAGAAACGGCGCCCACTAAAATGCTTTGGATCCACATTAGAAAGAGAACAACACGGATTCGTCTTCCAGTTATCGTTTGTTTGTATCGTATTCTTAGCAAAAGGGCCATGAGTCGATCCACAGAAATAACAGTCACAGTCGACAGAGATAAACCGGAGAAAATCGCTGTTAAAAGAAAAGCTGTGTATTCTACCAAAAGACATAGTTCGCCACCAATTTGGTCTCTTCCTGCCAAACTGACAGCAGCTGATACTGGCTGTGAAATTAAGGCAGTACAAAGATCGGTGATCGTGAGATTGCAAAGCAGAAGTTTTGAAGGAGGATGAAGACATCTATCTCTGCGAAGGGCGACCAGAATCAAGATGTTTTCTAAAGCAGTTGCAACAGATAGTAAACTATAAATGACTGCCATAATTAATGCCACGGTAGGTACATAATATTCATCGTCATAATGTCCATTGCAAAACACCGATCGGTTGGCTGCCTTGCGGAAATTCATGGATTTTTCCTAAAAAGATGAATCAACGTTTGGTTACTCAATTATGGATGCTAGGATCAGTTCCCTTAACCTAATTGTCAGAAAGCTGATAAGTTTTT